GCGGGGAAGCCGATGTCTTCTTCAGCTGTGCCTAATCCAAACTCCGACCGCAATTCAGAGGCAGCAGGTACTAGTGTTTTCTTAGGTGTGCACAGTTCCCAGAGAAAGGGGCGGCTCGCCAAACGTTTTGACACATTGTGAGAAATATCCGCATTGTATCCTTGTAAGCTGTCAGCAGCATAATTACCTAAACTGCTTGTCAGAAGCCCCATCTATTCTGACTATCTCTGTCTTCTGGAAGGGAACAGTTCAGCAAATAGCGAGACAATTCAGCTTCAATCCTGGGTCGTTTATAATACTGACAACATTTGATACAAGTGTCTGAAACCTGGTTTGATGTGACTGTAAAACATCCACTCAGTGTGATTTATCTGTGTTTGTGAGATTCTTTTTGCAGTATAGTCCAGCAACCTTAATTCTTTATGCCTGAAACCTCCAGGTGAATAAAAAACGACTGCACCATAATATAACCATCTGTTGTGTGCTGAATTGAAGTGCTGGACTTGTGTCAATAACTTTTAATGGTCAAAATTTCCTTAGAGGCAATATGGTGCAGGGCATTGTGCAGTGGTGTCAGTTGTGTAATTACTGTTTTAATGAGCTTTGGCAAACAGGGATCCTCACTCCCAGCACCTTCGGTGATGAGGCTGAGGTGTGTAGAGGTGACTGTAATGTCAAGTCACAGGGTTTGAAATGTTACACCTTCATTTGCAGCTGGGCTGCATCTGCAGCACTGTTGTCTCCACCGTAAAAATTGACCTGCAACCTCATGTAAATGGTCACCTTCTGTTTCTGTACAGTTTGATTAAGCAAAACACACACTCTTCCATATTTATGTCTTCATAGCAAGGTGTCACTTCGACTGACAGCTATGACATGAAGCCTGTAGACCAGTTATAAATAAATCAAGCCAAACATGACTGTTTAATAACAGGTCATGTGGTAGTGAAAGCCACAAATGTAAAGTTAACCCACCCTCCTGAAACATTCCCAAGCTCTGGATTCATCATGCCCTTGCAGAAGAAGGACTGTGGAAGGAGAGAATGGTGATGAGTGGGAAAACACCAGTAAGTGCAGATGTGGGAAACTCTGCAGGGTACAGGGGGGTGAGAGGCAGTGGGTTGGGATGGGGCAGGGAGGGAACTGAACTAACCCCAGCCTGCCTTCTGGCTGGGCCAATGGGCCATGGTAATTAGATCTGACCAATGTGGGCCCTAGGCTCTGGCCTGGGGGCATATAAGGGGGGCCTGGGGCAACAGACCCCTCACATCACTCAGAGGTCTCCTCTCACACCCCACTCCTTTACCCTCCTTCCTTCCTTCACACCCATCTCTCCATCCAGTGAGTCCTTTCTTCAGCGAGCCATGGATGTCTTCTCATCATCCCAGGTCTACTACGACAGAGCATGTGCTTCATCTCCAGACAGCTTGGAGTTTGGCCCCGGCATGGAGCTCGTTGGCTCAGAGGAAGATGAGCACGTCAGGGTCCCTGGAGCCCCTCACCAGCCAGGACATTGCCTCCAGTGGGCCTGCAAGGCCTGCAAACGCAAATCCAGCTTTGTAGACCGCAGACGGGCCGCCACCATGCGTGAGCGCCGGCGGCTGAAGAAGGTCAACCATGCTTTTGAGGCTTTGCGGCGCTGCACCTCGGCCAACCCCAGCCAGCGTCTGCCCAAGGTGGAGATCCTCCGCAATGCCATTCAGTACATCGAGAGCCTGCAGGAGCTGCTACGAGAGCAGGTGGAAAGCTACTATGGCCTACCTGGGGAGAGCAGCTCTGAGCCCGGGAGCCCACTGTCCAGCTGCTCTGATGGCATGGTAAGACCTCTGATCCACATGTTCAGCCTCCTCATGCAAACATCTGCTTGTACAGACTCCTTCATGTCCATCAAGGAAATGTGGACAGGACTTTTGGGAACATCACCCAAACAGCCCTTTTTGTTGAACAGTGTGTCTGCAGGCTCGTACACCAGAGCACTGTTCCCATTTCATTTCATTTTCAAAAAAACTCTGATTTCCAATTTAGAAACCTATTAATCAGATAAACTTGTTTTGCCCCAGGACCTCAATTACTGCGCTTCTCCATGCGTGGCATACTGTTGCAAAATTCTTTAATACAAACATCTGTTCTGTAGCCTCATGGGTTTCCTTGTCCCCTGTGTGCGACGCTTGTTTTTACAGGTCAAGTTGAATTAGGATTTTTCAGTGGTCACTCTATAAGCTAATACAAAAGAACTTATAATTGTGGATGGAGTAATGCCTTTCCCACCACCGGACACTTTATAGCCCTAATAAACCAAACTAAATCCACCTCACTGAAGTCTGGCAGGAAAATCTGGGTGCCTTTCTGCATTCCATCCTGACTGCATGTTCTGCACCACTGCCAGGATTTTCTGCAGATTTACTAGGAGAAAGTGTCATCTTGCACAAACTGGTGTTGCTTCCACTGATACAATCGATTTGCCACGCTCAGAGCCAGGCAGGGGAAGGGAGTGCATTCTGCCACTGTGGCTTTAAGGTGGATGTGAAATAAAGAAACCCATAACTTTGGAATTCAGGATTTATTAGCCTGTCCAGAAAATCATGAAGGGCATTGCTTGTTTTTGCACTTTTTCTGCTGCTTCCAAACTCCATATATATTTATATAAACACAGCACATCATGTCTGCTTGCTGTTTTTCAAAGTGTGTGCAAGGATTCAAGGGTAAATTTGATTTTTCATTTTCTTCCAGACTGACAGCAACAGCCCAGTGTGGCAACAGCTGAATGCAAACTACAGCAACAGCTATTCATATGCAAAGAACGGTAAGACAGGAAGAGCAGTTTGATATGAATAGGACATGCATTCTTTACTCAGCAGTGATTTCAAAACTTAATAGCTGAATGGCAAATGATTATAAATGTTATGTTTTCTTTTGTTTTATGTCCTTTAACACCAGGATTTTGGTATAAAACAAATTTATCAAAAAATCTGATAAAATATATAAACGTGTATAAACATTTTTTTGGAATCTTTAATAAACTTACATCCAGTGTATCTATATTTTTTATACAAATTTAGTCACTTACAATGGTTCACTGTTGTTACTGTTTTCATTGTACTGAGAACTACCTTCTTCTGTTCAGAGGGTTTGGACGATAAAGCAGCCGGAGCCTCCAGCCTAGAGTGTCTCTCCAGCATCGTGGACCGTCTGTCCTCGGTCGAGTCCAGCTGTGAGACGGCCGCCCTGAGAGACATGGCCAACTTCTCCCCCGGCAGCTCCGACTCACAGCCCTGCACTCCGGAGAGCCCTGGATCCAGGCCTGTCTACCATGTCCTGTGAAGAAAACCTCGCTTCGATTTGGACCTACTGCCACAGGCATTTAAAGTGCCTTTACCAACATTTGAATACGTTTTGTTCAAACCTGAAGGAGACTCAGCAGAATCTGAGGACCTGTGGCAACCAGCCCCTTTATAATGTACATGAGACTGTATATATGATGTAAATGCCCATTTATTCTATACATGATATTATACCCACTGAGACATATTTAATAATGACAGTTAATGTAATGTAATGTTGCATTATACCAGCATTAAGTGGTATTTATGCCATGTTTGTTACTTTTCATGTAGTTGTGGTCATTAAATGTTTTCACTGTTTTGTATAAAAGCCTGGGCTTTTTTTGTGGCCATGTTTTTAGATGTCTCATTAAGCATCTCATTAACCTAGGGATTCAAATGAGCTCAGATAATAATAAAAAAAAAAAACTTAAAATTGTCCCTAAGGGTTTCGGTGTTCACTCTAATAAATGTGATGACATTGTGAACCTGAATCTAAACAGAAAATCAAGTGTCAACATTAAAACTGATGACTTACACACACTATTGCAGTGTTTACAAATTAACGGTGACAGCGGTTACCATCACTATCACACTGACTACTCATAGTTAAGTTGGTTTACAACATTTCAAAGTAAACACAACAGCTGAATTGATCATTTAGGATGACAGATGATGATAATCAGTCCAGAGGTGGCAGCAGGGTGAGTTGTTCACTGTGTGACATGGCTGCTCACCCTGGTCAGTCCACACTGTCTCCACCTAACATGGTGGGGAGATGACATCAGATACTAATAGAGGTCAGTTGATACCATTTATCATTTGACACCTCTGTAATCGCCCGTGAAACCTGTTGCTTACAAGCCATAACAGCAGTGGAAAAGGCCATTTCATCCCCATGTGTTTAAAAATAAAAAACACATTTGTCCATCCACATTTGTGTGTTTAGAGGGTGGCATCGCTGTGCGTACCTGTTTGTTCCTTCCAACCAAATGTGAGTCATCATTAACACCCTTGATTACAACATCAACACCAGAGCTGAGAACAAATGGCCTCTAATTGTGCTTATTACGTGACTCGGGGGGGAGGGGAGCAACGTGTGTCATACTCTCTACAGTACTTATTTCAAACACGTTTAGTTTCTTATCATTAGATGACTGGTTAGCTAAAGAATTGTATTTTAAGAATTTAAGTACAGTTCTGAGGTACACACCTACTTTACTTAATCGTTTTAATTGTTTCCTCCCACAGTCCAAAGACTTAGGTTGACTGATGACACAAAATTGTCTGTAGGAGTGAGTGTGAGTGGTTGTTTGTCTCCATGTCAGCCCAGTGATAGACTGGTGACCTGTCCAGGGTGGACCCCGCCTCTAGCCCGATGTCAGCGGAGGTAGGCTTCATCCCCCAGCGACCACATTCAGGAATAAGTGGTATAGATAATGGATCACAGTGTCCACATGCAAGTAGAAACAACTACAGTTCTGTGTGACAGTGTGGACATTTCAGCAGCAGCTTGCATTTCCTGACCCCACAGCCGTGTGTGACGTTGATTATGTCACTGTCATCGTTTTCCATGGCTAATTTTTTGGTTTTGAGTCATGAATCACTCACTTGCTAACCAACACAAAATATACCAAGGATTCACATCAAGGTTGTTGCAGACAAGCATGAAATCAAACTTATTTTACTTTTACTCTTTTTTCTTTGATTCTTGACAGGGAACGGACATAATTAAGAGATTAACTCGACTCAGAGGCCAGTAGCCATGTAGTACTATCTGGGGCCACAAGAGAGAGGTGTTTCATGCATCTCCCACATTGACACTTGTCATTTTTGGCCTCTATTTTAATAATCAACATTAACAGGCAGAGATATATTTATATTCTCTGAATGCTCATCATGATATTGTGTCTTTAGATGTTACAGTAATTCATGGATCTTCTAAAATTTGAAGACAATACTGACCTTGTAGTGAATATTTAACTGGGGTCTTTGGAGAATTACATCTGCCCTCTGGCAAAATCTAAGAGGTTGTACTCTCTAAGAAAGTTACTACACAGCTAGAAAAGGAGAGGATGTAGTGCACAGGTACACACAGTGGATCTGAACTGTCAACAACACTGAAATATAAATTACATTTGATTTGTTCAAACAAATGGCTGATGTTCTAATTATATTCCAGCTCAGTGTTTATTCTGAGCAGCATCGATAGGAATCCATTTTGCATCCTGAATGTGTTTAGCCAACCGGGGTTGCAGTGCAGGAAGGTGCAGTGGAGCAGACTGAGGTCAGTCTGACTGTTGTGCAGAACATTTGACTCTGGGCCAGTGACATGTCATAAAATGATTTGACCACACATTGGGTCAGGTCTCTCCTGTCAAGGTCAGGCCGACCCCGAGCTGTTTGTCCCAACAATCAAATATTAACATAAACCACGACGAACAGTAAAACAAAGGGAAGGTCACTGGTGGACACTGCTGTCCTGCTGCCCTGGACGACCTCACCCTGCTGAGCCGCTCCAGAGCTCCCCAAGTGGGAATTTATTTGGTTTAATTTTATTTATATTATCTTACTTGTATGTACCGAATATCAGTCTGCATAGAGTTGGATACACCCACACTACACACTTTCACATGCAAACTAAATTTAATAATCACTTTGTCTCTTTTGTTAATGTCTGTTGTCTCATTTTCTATGTTATGTCCTTTGTCCTGTAAATGTGTTGCAATAAAAAAATAGAATAAAAAGATAAAATGATTTGACCCACACAGACACATTTGAACTTCTCTTTTTGTGAGGAGACTCAGTGACATAATGCATTCTCTAGCCCCTTACTCTAACCATCAGAACTAAATGCCTAACATATAACTTTTACTTAATCCTAACCATCTCTGTACTTGGCCTAAGCTTCCCCTCCTACAGGGGAAAGGAGAACTTGGAGTAATGGATAGGTAACGGTCTGGTGAAGCTGGAATGACAAGGACTAGAGTTTATGCAGGACAGGGTGTAGGTACTGAGGTTCGGGTGTTGATGGCAGGTGCATTGCCCAAATCACATTGACATGAACGAGAACATACAAACTCCACACAGAAAGGCACCAGGTTGTCTCGGGCTCAAACTCAGAACCTTCTTGCTCTGAGGTGACCGTGCTAACCACTGTACTACCACGCCATCCACACACAAGCACAAACATAAATCTGTTCAATAAGATCAATTAGAAAGTATGAATACGAGGCAGTGTGGGTTAAATTTGACCAGCTAACACTGGATCAGACAGCTACATACTGAACACTGTTGTAAAGTACTTTACAAGTGCTATCACTGCTAAAGGCATGAAAAAGGATGGGTGTAACACAGTGCTATTAGACTGAAGAATATAAAAGAGATCAAGAAGGTGTTGAAAATTGTTTTCACACCCCTAATACAGTGAAACATTAATTAAAGATGCTAAGAAAATTTATATTGTCTTTGGCTTAACTCCACAGTACTAGAGGCTTTATTGTAAATGAGGACTACTTTGTTTTCCTCCTGACAGTGAGAAGGTGTTATATTCAGGCTTCTCAGTACCAGCAATGATCACTAGTGAGGGATTTGTCACCTGCACTAATCTCACACTTTTTTCACTTCAGGCTTTGGTCACATGCTGTTGCTCTAGCAGGGATTTGATTGCACCAAACACCATGTAGAGCATGGTGCAGACACACTACTGCTTTGTGCTGCTTATGTCACCATTTGACTTTAGTGCCTTCCATTTACAAGAGTCTCTTTATTAGTTTCAGTGTCTGCTCTTTGAACTGAGCCAACAATCAGCCATTGACCTTCTGTTCCAGGGCTGAAAACCTGGACAAGCCTGCAGAGGGACATGTCAGTGCACGAGGTTTATTCCTCCTTCAGCAGCCCACTCAGATAATCAGTGACAAGCTGTTAGGCTGTATGAGGAAAGAATAGTGTATCTAGGCCATTGTTTATGCTGCACAAACAGAAGGTATTCACTAAAAAAAGTTCATCAAGGAGAGTGGGAATTCAATGGTTTTAACCCAGTTTTTACATTCTATAAAAAAAAGCACATGTTGTGCACTTCATGGGACGATTACAGTGTTTTAAGACTCAGTGTATTTAGATTTGGCCACTCTTAGGCCAGAGGTACACCGAGGTCTAAGTAGCAAAGCCAAAAGCACTGGACTTAAACAGGTAATTTAGAGTACAGGGTGTTTGTATGACTGGGCAGACTGAGAATCATTCCTGCAGGGCACGATACCACAGTCTGCTGAAAACCGTTCTCAATAAGTAACTGTCCCCCATCTAATCTCTATGTTGATCTACTTAATAGCAAAAAAGTAATTCAGTATGGGACAAATCAGTGCCTCTCTGAGGGTCAAAGCTCTAAATACCAACAATCAGTACGGGACATGAAGGACGGCTCAACAAAGCGTTCACTGTACACAAGCACATAGATTTATTTATACAAATATATTATGTATAACAATTGCATATCAACATTTTGTTGTTTTTTTAATGTGTACTGTAAGTGCAGGACCATCAGCTGGAAAACTGCAAGTCAATTAAGAAAGAGTACCTGTGATTTAAAGATACAAAAAGGGATCTGTTGGATTGAGATGCTTCAAGATCGAGTGAGAGACCAAAACCTCTGAATCTCCATTAAGGTCACCTGACATAAAAGCTTCACCATTAAGTGACCGTAGAGCTAAGTATTTAGTAAATGGCACATACTGTATAATGCATGTAGGACTTGTGCAATTAGATGTTATGTAGATCAGAAATAATCACAGGTGAAAAGTAAATACGTTCTGTCAACAAATACATGATGGATTCTAAAGCAGCAGTTTCACAAAAAAGCAATTGAACAGGCTTTTGTTCACTGTTACTTCTGGTTGGTCTCTCCTTGGGGAAAAAAACTCTCTGGTATGCAAGAAGTGTTTTATAATTCAGGTTTGTATGAAATAAATAAAAGATACAGTCTAAGGGTTAAAGCATGCAAAAAGTGCCACCTACAGAAAATTAAAAAAGAGCAGAAAACAAGATGGTAAAAAAATACACACACAACACAGGGAGCACTTAGCACCAGACATGAAGAATACAGACCTGTCAGGTTACTTTAACTCCAGAGTTCATGTCCTTTAAAAACAAATTTCCCTTCGAGGTACCGAGGAAGATACGGAGGAAACATTCCACTCAGTCTCATAATGATTGTCAAACAAAAAAAAAGCATGAAACAAACACTATGTGCTAGTATCCAGCTGATATACAGCAAATAAATTTTTTAAATAATAATCTGCATGTCTCAGAAAGAATACACAATATTTAAAGGGAAAACTTTATCTTAAATCTCTGATCTTTAAAATAGACAAGTCTGAAAAGTAAACATATTTTAATTTTCATTGGTGACATTCTGTTTGCTAGTCGGGAACAGGACACAGTTAATATGAACCTCTTTGTAATATATCTTTTCTGGATAAATCTCAGTTGGGAGTAGCTTACAAAGTCAGTTAATAATTGCAGTTATTGCACATCATTTGTACATGCCTCCTGTAAATCAATAATCTCTCGAAATGGCACCGAGGAAGCTGCCTTACACTGCTTCAGTTCACTTTACAATGATTTACATTTGCACCTATTCCACAAACTGTGTTGTATGAATCCAATTAAAAGTTTTGTGGCGAAGTGAATGGGTGTTATTGCTAAGCCTACGAGATACAAAGTCTTTTCTTGCTACAATATAGAAGGTAAAAAAGAGTTCACATGTATCCAAAACAGGACAAGTTTGACACAAAGAAGAAAGAAATCAATGGTCATTCATACAGAGACACAAGCACCAGTTGAAGAATCAATAGAAACACTGTACAAATGAGAGCCACATGGGTGTCGCGGTGTAATGGATGCTGGTAAGCTAACCAAAATGGGGGACTATAAAAAAAAAAGCAACAAACACAAAAAGCGGGCAGTTTCAATGAGAGTCACAATGGGGAGATCAACTTATAAAAGGGAATACAGAGTTGAAACGGACGACCTTCAGTGCTAGCCTCCTGCAAAGCACCAGTTTCAGGACAAACGTCTCTCTGTTTGTTCTCAGTAATCGATGGTAAACTGGAAAGGAGAGAGTAAGTAAAAGAATCTTCTACTTGTTGGTGTCCTCGTCAGGGCGGTTCCTTTGGGATCTTCAACACAAACAGATGGCCTTTGAGATCCATCTTTACACTCTCTTTTACTTCTTCTTCTTTTGGAACAACCTGCAAATAATAAAAAAGAGAAACAAGCTGAGAGCAGATGCTTTAGAGCTTGCTGACAGTTCAGTCTTATAACGATGGTTTTTAAGTGGTAGCTAATTGTCTCCCAGATACAACAGATCCATGTGTGACCTCTGTTACTTTTAGAATGAGACGACCATCTTTTAGGCCGTGTTATACCCAGATGTCACATCGAATATGAGGAAGTGACAACCACAAAGCTCACCATTTACCTCCATGCGCTGAACAACATCAGAATGTCAAACGTTCTTCCACATTTGCAGCATCAATCACATTTGTTTCCTCACCTGGACCGGAGCCTGTGGGTATAGTAGCGCTAATGTTGTTGCGCTAAATTGTAAATAGGGCATCAGAAATTCCTGTCAAATCCTATGTGGAGTTAGCTGAGGCTTTTATTCTGAAGGGTACACATTCAAACTTCTGGTACTTGTCCTTACACCTTCCAAATACTGCTAATGTATTTTTATGTGAGTAAATACATCTTTAGGCAGAGGTCCTCGGCTTCCTTGTGTAAGGACATGTTCTGTGTTTCTGCTGGGTCTATTGGGATTGTTTTATTTTGCTTCCTCTTTTCATTCTGGACTTTCTTTCAGCAGGTAAGCACAATGTTCACTCTGTTCACTGCTGGTGTTTTTGCTATATATGTGATATTTTTTATGATGCAGCTGAAGTTTTCTTTATTTCCGTCCATTAATCTGCTGATCAGATGACAGTTTGTTGAGGCATGTGTTTGGCAGAGCTTCTGATTAGCATGCTGTCTGGAAAATTGGTGGCTCTGTTCACGAGACCATTTATGCAAGACGGACTGCTTTGTTTTGCTTCAATTAGAGAGAGATTTTTCTGGAATGTTGTAAGAAACTGCAGACTACACAGGCCTGAAAAAGTGGAGTGACCCCACTGTCCAACTACAGCAGTGGACGTTTGAAACTTTTGTTAATGTGAGATAAGCTAATGACAGTAAAACAAAAAAAACAAATTACCATTTCTTACATAAGTGAGGCTGTTGTTTGGATCGTCATCTTCTAACTTAATTAGTCTGGTGATCAAAGCTGTTGACAAAACTCTCATTCAAGTTGGTTGACCAATAATGGCAACTCGTGTGTGTGTTTATGTGGAAGAGGACACTGAGGGAGACAGAGGAACACCAGGCAAACCAGTTGTCTGCTTGTGCTTGTCACTCAGACGCCAAAGCAAATCTCTGCGGTTGGTGTGCCGCATTGATAAAACATGATCCCTGCTCAATTGCTTGTCTGTAGTTCCACCAGAACACACTGTTACAAGCTCCTAAATACCTTCCCAAGCGGCGCTGTGCCAAGAGCAAGACAAGAGATATGCCTGTGGGATTTAGCATCAAACAGGCAGTGCCACAGAGACCTTGGACAAATGCCCACCTCCAAAACATCAGGGAAATGCTGAAATAATTTGAATCAGGCATAGCATGATATGATTTAGCCTCATGTTCTGATTAATGTTTCTTTTAGTCTTTAAGTTTTGCTATTTTTATTCGGTGAGTGTCTGACTTTGCTGTAGTTTGTCTGGCACTGCAGGGCTTTGTTCTAAATTTGGACTGGTAAAAATATTGCCAAAAGCGGAGGTATGTAGACCCGGCATCCAGCTGTAGTTTCCAAGTAACAACACTGCAGGGTGTATCCACTTATCCACGTACCTGCAGAGCATGAGCAACAGATGTAATCGGTTTAAGCTTGAATAATTTACAGCCCTTACGAGAGAATCACTGGCAGCAGAAACTGTAATGTTTGCACAGAGAATACGGGCTACTCAGTTTGCAACACTGAGGTTTCAGACTTCGTGCAGACATGTATAGACATGTATATGCCTGCTACTTGCACACAAGCCAATAAAAGTGCTTGCACTGGACCATCTCTATCTGTATTTTTTGTTTGACAAATCTGTTCCTTCAGTTTCAACCAACTGACAATTCAAGTAAACATAATAATAACAAGTGTTCATAATCGAAATGGACCAGATGGCATACAATTTAATACATCTACTAAGATTAACCCAACAAGCAATAAAAACTTAAATAAATGCCACTGATCTAATATGTTTTACAGATTTATAAAGAGATTTAAAATATGCTAATACTTCTGCCAGCGGGATTTTCTAGCTGAAAAACCTCGGTCACCTTGAAGCAGGAACAGCTGGAAATTTCTAAGCCTGAGGCTCTGCACGTGCTCACATGGGAAATGAGGTATGGTAACACAATACTGTATGTGGATAACCGCATCCATTATGAAAACTGTTTGATTACATCCGAGTCCTAAAATAGCACATACGTCTGATCTGTCAGCTGAAAAAAGAAATCCATACGGATGCTCAGAGATAATTTGTGCTCATCTCAATCTGACCTTTGCCATCCAGACTTGGACCTTAATCCAAAGTAAAGTCTTGAGAGGTGGAGCTTTACAGGGATTTTCAAACACGGTAGGATGACTATGATAGGTTCAAAGCAGGAAGTGCTTGGCACCTTCTGGATGTAAAGCCTCTTCACTATTGCGATATGTAGACCTATCAGGATTAAGCGGCTACTTTTTCTGTTCATGCAACTATAAATATACAGCTTCCACTGGATCCGCCTCCCCACACCCGTCACCCTTAAAGCAATGAAGCGCCTCACCTACGACATGTGGTTCTGCTGAGAGGCCAGGTTCTGCTGTTGCTGCTGCTGCATGAGGAGCTGCTGCTGCTGGCGCCTCCGGGCCGTCCGAAGCTTCTCAAAGCGAGCCTCCATCTCCTCCAGCACTTTGGGAGTGTAGCGAACCACCAGCTTCACGCTGTCCTTGGCCGCCTTCAGCAGCTCCACTGCTTTCTCATGGTGCTCTCCCTCCACGCTCTGCAGGGGGTTTGGAGACAGAGCTTTAAAGGAAGCTGATTTGAACATATTTTTAAATCAGAAATGAGAGGATATACTCTTCATTTTTAATATCAGGTGAATATGAACACACTAAGAGTCTGTGCTTCAAGTCATTCTAGTGGGTGAGGAAGTGTTTCTGTTCCTTACTCAACACATGCAGCAGTTTGAGCTCAGCAGCTCTCCTCATTGTTGACTCCTGTTTTGTGAAAGCTGCTTTATCAGGCTTTAAAAATACACGGGAGCAGTGACGTTTATCTGATCGCTCCTTTTAATTTCTATATGGATCCCCATACACTGCCTCTGAATGTAAGTCTGGATGCACCTACCACACCGTTGACAGACAGGAGCTGGTCCCCTCGTTTTAAACCACCATGCCTCTCAGCCACACCCCCGGGAATGATGCGGGAGATGTAGATAGGTGAGTTCTGCTCTTTGCCACCCATCACATTAAAGCCCAGCCCTTCCTCTGTCTTGGGTAGCTCCACCACCCGTGGGTGAGAGTGACCCTCACTGGCTGCGAAGGCTGCGACTGTGGCCTGAAGGACGAGAGAGGTAGCAGCAACCACTGACTAGTATAACTTGTTGGGAGTTGCACAATACACAGGAAAAAATGAGAATTTAATGACCCGCAAATGAAAAGAAAAATCTTCTAGAGAATCTTCTGAGAAACTGTGAATCTCAGCTGTACCTTCTCACTTCAAACAGGATGGTCATAACAAAGCATTCAGATTTAGTCACGGCTGGGGATTTAGGCTCTGCCTGAGAAGTTTTCTGGCTTTCTGAGTACATGGATTAACACATTCAAGTTCATGCTGAAGTTTCAGCCACAGCTGGGTGAAGCTGCTTGCTGGCTGTGGGGTTTCTTTGAACCTCAAGCCAAACCCTTTGCTCTTTGTATGTGGAGAACAAAGCAGCCAGGAGCTTGTTAGCCCAGCCTAGGAAAGCTAATGGCAGACAAACAAAGAATAAAACACCCCCTACCCACTGATGCACTGCCACAGGTGCTGTGCTGTAAAGTTGGCATCATCTATGAAATGTGAGGTCAAGCGGGAAAGGGGAGGCTCTGTCAGATACTTCTCCAGATGTGTGTACAAACTCCCCTGCAGCAGACGAGGAGCTTGGCACTTTGAACTCTTTGATGCTCCCTCCAGGCAGGATCCCCAACTCTGCTCTCTCTTCCACATTCATATGCATCTTCATATCCACATTTCATTTCTGTTCCAACAGTTCACTCACAATTTATCTCTCCTCCACTGCCTGTTTTAATTATATTATAGTATCATAGTGCCAACCTACCCTCTCCATCCTT